AATCATGGATTACAAAAAACTCTATCATGGGTTACAAAAAAAACAAAAAACAAAAAATTCAATCATGGATTACAAAAAAAAAACAAACATTTCGATCATGGATTACAAAAAAAAACAAACATTTCGATCATGTATTACAAAACATTCGATCATGGATTACAAAAAATTCTATCATGGGTTACAAAAAAAAAAAAAACAAAAAAAGCGATCATGGATTACAAGAAAAGAAAACAAACATTTCGATCATGGATTACAAAAAGTTCTATTGTGGGTTACAAAAAACCAAAAAATTCGATCATGGATTACAAAAAAACAAAAACAATTCGATCATGGATTACAAAAAAATCGATCAAGTATTACAAAAAAATCTATCATGGATTACAAAAATAAAAAATAAAAAAAAATAAAAAATAAAAAAATCCGTACGGACTCGCCGATTCCGTACAGTGAATCGGCGAGTCACTGTGCGGAATTGTCCGGTTCTCTCTAGAACCGGACGATTTCCGATTTTTCAACCGATCCGGTCCATTTTCGCGAATTCCGAGTCGAACCGGGCGAGTCCGGTTTGACTCGACGTTTTTTAAAACGCTGACTATATCCATTAGTACAACTAAGAGGATGAATTCCATAAAGAACAGCAGTTCAAAAGTTACCACATATATTTCCAAAAGCCATAAAGAAATAGAAAGTAAGCAACTCATGGTGAATAACAAAGGCATCAACCAGTGTTTTAAAAAACAGCGAGTCGAACCAGACTCGCCCGGTTCGACTCGAAAACACGCGTGCCCGTGCCGGTTCCAACCGAAAACCGAGAACCGCCAGGTTCTAGAGTAGAACCGCCGGTTCCCATCCGTTTCAGCCCGGTTCTAGAGTGGAACCGCGGGTTCCCATCCGGTTCAGCCCGGTTCTAGAGTGGAACCGCCGGTTCCCATCTGGTTCAGCCCGATTTTAGAGTGGAACCGCCGGTTCCCATCCGGTTCACACACGTAACACATGACACGTATGTGCGAGCGTGCCCCATGCACACTCACACGTGCACACGTGTGTCTGAGCGCTCATGTGTCCGAGCGCACATGCGAGCGTGCCCCACACACACTCACACGCGCACACGTGTGTTCGAGCACACGTGCGAGCGTGCCCCACGCACACTCACACGTGTGTCCGAGCGCACGTACAAGCATGCCCCCACACACACTCACATGCGCACACGTGTGTCTAAACGAACATGCGAGGTTGCCCTAATATTTTTATACACATTTTATAATTCATATTGCATAGGTATTTATATACCAAATTTTAATACCCATCTTTCGATGTGGGATAATTTCCAAACATCATTAAATGAAAACGAAATGAAAATATAGTCTATTAATCAGTAGTTTATAATCACATGTAGTTAGATGGCTTGATAGTTATGACTTTGAATTTTTTACTTGAAGTCCCAAGGTCGAATCCCCTTGGGCACCCCCTTGGGCATGTGTTCCATTTGAATCCCCTTGGGCATATGTTGTATTTTTGTTGTGTATATAGTGGTTGGTATAAATATTTTTGTTGTTTTCGAATCCCCTTGGGCATGTATTGCATTTTTGTTGTATATATAGTGGCTGGTATAAATATAAATATTTTTGTTGTTTATATAGTGGTTGATATAAATATAAATATTTTTATAAATAATATAAAAGACATAAAAAAATGAAAAATAAAAAAATTAATTTTTTATATAACCGTTAATTTTTGTTGTATATAGTGGTATAATTATTTTTGTAAATAATATGAAAGGTATAAAAAAAATAAAAATAAAAAGTTTATTCTATTTGAAATCTCCATCTTTCTACTAACAATCTCTTTTACTAAATTTATTATAGAAACCTAAAAAAATAAATTTTTGAAAAATTGAAGTGTTATTTCCAAAATTTGTACGTATTTTATTAATTTTTACATTGATAACCAAATCTTTTATTTTATTTATGAATTTTTACATTATAAATCATGTAATGTACTATTTTTCTTACAATTGTCAATAATACATTTTAAATTAGATAATATTATAAAATATTTTAAATTTGTTATTATTTGTCTAATAAAATAATTATAAAATGTAAACTAATAATTATAATTTCAGTATATAATATTATAATTAGTGAAGTTGTAATAAGTTTGGATTATAGTTAGTTAGGCTGTAATAGTTTGGTTTTTTTTAGCAGGTTAGGGTTTTTCGCCAAAACAAGATTTTAATGGCGATTCTTTCATTGATTAGTCTACTCTTTATAATAGTCCATATATAATTATATATTTTATCCATGATAATTCTATGATTTTTCTTTTATGTGATGCAAATTTACTAGTTAAAATAAATTTATACAGAGAAAGAACATCTCAATATTAACAAATTGATGAAAAAAAATGAAAGTTAATAATGTAGTACCCTCATTTTTTATTGGATTCTTAAAAAACAACATTTATAATGAATTTTAATAATTTTTTCAGATTTTTTTGAAGCTTTAATCCGACCGATTCAGCTGATTCCCGATCCGGATCGTCGATTCGTCGATCCGGATCGGTCTTTGAGGTGCCCGATCCGGGTCACCGATCCGTTTTTTAAACCATTGGCATCAACTGTTCAAAATGTGACAACCACTTGGTAGAGTGCTTGACAATTTCAATGGAAAATTGACCCATTGCACAAATGCAAGGACAGAATATCATTGGTTTATATCCGTTGAACCACTAGAAATATTAAAAGGGGAAAACTAGTCCTGTCTAAAAGAAACTTAATTAATGCACCAAAATATATGCTAAAGTCAACATAATTAAGTAAGGAGAAATTAAGAAAGAAAACATACCAATACTTAATCATTCCATCCCATCCACAAGTAGCGACCTTACTCTGCTCCAATGGGTGCCATTCGCACCCAATACAAACACCCTCATGGCATTTCAGCGTCCTAAAAACCTTGCAACTTTTCCAATCCCAAAACCAACACCGACCCTCTCCATCCCCTGACATAACAAATCGCCCATCAGGAGAGAAGTTCACTTGGCAAGCATAACCTGCCACAATATGACCAGCAAATCTCTTCTTCTTATTCAACTGAAACCTCTCTCTCGTGCTATATATCAAGATCTGATTGTCCAAGCTTTGAGCAGCTAACCAATTTGAATTGGGGTGTAGTGAAATTGAAGGCATCGAATGCATGTGAGGCTCACTTATGTATTTAATCACCACAGGGATCCCAAACTCCCAAACCCGAAGACTCTTATCATCACTCGAGGTCACAAACCGGCGATTATTGTCCACAAATGTTATCGTATTCACAGCCCCAAGATGCTGATCATATTCTTGGGTGATCTCTCCACTTCTCATATCCCATTGCACTATCTTCTTGTCACTCATTCCAGCAAGAAGGATATTTTGTTTGTCTTCATCAGGGTTAAGCTTGATCACATATGCGATTTTACCAGTCGAAAAAGTGGATATAACACTACCAGTCTCTGTATCCCAATACTTGATCTTCTTATCATACCCAGTGCTCAAAAATTTTGACCCATCATTCGAAAATGTGATATCTCGAACTGCTTTAGAGTGCCCCATGTATGTCCGCATACACTTGCGCGAATTAAAAACATCCCAAATCTTAATCTTTGTATCCATGCTTGCTGAAAGAAGAAGATGACCATCTTTCGGAAAGAACCGAATAGCTGATACACCCTTCGTGTGCCCACTCCATGTGTGATAATGCTTTTTGGGTATATAACAGTGATCGTTTGTTGCCTTTGCATCTTTTGGGGGGGCAATCCAAGACCTCCCCTGATAATCTCTCTCCTCTTTTCCATGAAATGTAGTTTTATCAATGAATTCAACCTTCTCCCCCTTCTCCTTCTCGCCCTTTTTATTAGCATGCTCTTCCGCATATTTCTTTTGTTCCTCTGTTAGTTCACTTTGGATCCCTTCCTTCTTTCCAGACCATGGGCTCTTCCTATTCTTCAGAAGCCATTCTTGAGAAGCTGGGTTCTCCATTTCAGGCTTGCGTTCCTCATTTTCAGGCTCTTCCTCTTTTTGCAATGCCTTTTTCTCGAGTTTGCGCTTCTTTTGCTCATGTTGGGGTATGTTATAAACTGAAGCTCCATCATTTTGCTGCAAGGCTTCAATGTCTCCAACATAATTACTCCCTGAATAGCCTGAAGGATCAGCTGCATAGCCATATTTATGGAAAGTATTGTATTGGTCATCAAATAGAAAGGGTTCAATTGCTGCATTTTCGACAAAACCAAGCTTATGATTTCTCATTCCTTGGGCTAAACCATCTTTAGTAAAGGGGTGAGCAGGGCCATAGATTGGAGCCCATAACTGATCATAAGTAGGGTTAAAGGCCACCACATGTTGAACTGGATCAATAGGTTTGGGCAATGGCCTGCCTGTGTCCACTAAATTTAGGGATAGCATGGTTTCATCAACTTTAGGAGCAGAGCTCTTTGAAGGTAGGGAAATCCTTAATGGAGATGAATTAGGAGAAGAACGGGGGGAATCATCTACGTTACTTTGTGACGGACTCGAATCATAAGTGTCATCTTTATAGCTTTGCAACAAATCCATTCTTGTGAATCCTTCAAAACCAGGCACCCATACCAGTCAAAACCCTAGAATGGCTTGAAACTCTGATTATCCCAATACAGGTTTCCTTTACCAGCAAAAACCTTGAGATAACCTAAATCCGTTGTGGAAAGAGCTCTGATAAGAACAAGAGAAAGGGAGTCATCACCTCAGAAACAAACAGAGCCCTATGCTTGGGCCTTCCACCATGAAAGCATGTCTTCTAATTTGATTTGAAGATAGGAAGCTGCCTGTTTAAGGTATAGAAACAATAAGCAATTACCAAGTACATGTATCACCACATACCAAAGACAGAAACATTCCATAGTGATACTCATAAGAATGCAAGGTGTGATAAAATTAGGAATTAATATTCGTCTTTACGTGAAGGAATAGATATTTATCTTTTTCGATCACAGAAAAGATTTCTTAGTGGGCAATCAAGAGCCATTAAAACAACCATCATCCATATTCACAAGAGTAATAAGATAAAACCCATTTGTCTAGTCCAGAAAGGTATAACACAAATATATTTCTTGTTGGTAGACATCCCACTTGTGAAAAATCTAATAATTGTGATCAAGCAATTGTTAGAACCTACTAAATATATCAACAAAAAATATTACACTCTCAAGCTATCCTAAATCAAGTCACCCCATTTCTTGTTGGTAGACATCCCACTTGTGAAAAATCTAATAATTGGGAAATAGGGGATGGAAATAAACATAAAGCTTGCAAAAGTGACCCAATTTCTTGCTGGTCGGCATCCCTTAGATTGTCACTCATTTTACATTTAATTATTTTCATTATAAAACTTTAATTATTTACAATGTAGAACTTGATCCTCCCAAAAAAAAAAAAAGTATTAAATTACATTATCATTACTTGAATTTGCCACTGAAAACAATAAAAATGCAAATAATTTTTTCTGGAATAGTGTCAACTACCTAAGCACTTGACCCCAACTGATTTTTGTTTGGAAATTTCCTCCTTGAAAAGTTAGTTGACACCGAAGCTATGTCCAATAATACTGAAAAATTATAGGTAAGCATAGAATAAATTCCAAAAATAAATTCAATACTAGAAAATAACCATCCCCAACTATGTTAAAAAAAAATCCCCAATCAAATTTTTAGACCCTTCTACAAATTACAAATTAGTGTGGGAAATACCTCAATAGAAATTAAACATCTATTTGACTCAGAATGCAACCAAATTCCGTGATCAATTAGAACAAGAAAAATTAATCCCAAAGAGACAACAACAAGTACAAATATAAAAAAGGAGAGAGAGAGAGACAGAAATAACTAAAGAACAAAAAGAAAAGATTTGGTACCCTGCATGTTTCTTGACAATTTCCAATTTGTTTCGATAGTAATCAAACAAAACAAATAAATGGCAATGATTTCTAGGTAATATATTCCCATGGCTTCGAAACCAAACATCAATTACATGGTATCCAGTCAATGTGTAGTGTGAGCTTTAAAGAAAGGTTGAATTAAAAGAACTCCCTATTCCTGGTTCTGGTTTTTGAGGTTCTAGGGGTCAAGATTTCAGAAAACACTAGGCGCCCTGCCTGGCACCCAGTGCCTAAACGGGTACCCAGAACCTTGAGCGCCCCATAATTTAAAAAAAATGAAAATCTCCTGACCCGCCTGGGCGCCCGCCCAGGTACATCCGCCTGGGAGCCCGCCCAGAATTTTTTGTCCAGGCCGCGGACCGTTTTTTAAAACATTGCAGGGGTAAAACAATAGCTCTGATAACATGAAATTCTCATAAAAATAGTAAAGGCATGCAACAACCCTAGATAAATCGAGTAACTTACCAGGCCAATACGAGAGCACTACGAACTTCAAAGTTAGGGTTTATTTGAAGGAGAAGCCTCGCCTCTCACATGGGCTTTGCTTTTGTTTCAGAATTCAGAAAAACGGTGTCCTTTCTATTTTGTGAAGAACAACTAGAATGAAGCGCAAAAGGGTGTTGCTCTGGAGAAGTTATCAGAGACAAATGACAAATTTGTCTTTAGCTTTTGTTAAAGGAAAAAGTTTTTATGAGGTTGCAACTTTAAAATGTAGAATTGCACCTCGAAAATCTATCGAAAAAGGTTGTGTTAATATTGAAAAACCCTCCAACTGATCATCTCAACATTGAGATATATGAATATAAAAAAAACATATTTTGAATCTTAAAAATAGTACATCTTGCAACACATTATCTAGACCGTTCATTTTTAAGATTTTCAAATGTTTATAGATCTACTTGATTTTAACCATTTTTTTAGTTTAAAATTTTATAATTAGATATGAAAATAGATTTTGAGATAATTGTAATACTTTTTTATACCAAAATTACATGTTATGATAAAGTTTGGAGGTACGTCTTAATTGGATTGCAACCTTATAAAAACTACACCCTTAATTTAAATGATAATGAGTATTTTGTAAGTGTATCATCCACTATATGAATTTTCATCCACTATTCTGCTCTATTAAAAGTCATACCTTTCGTAAGTATATAAAAACCTTAATTACCCCTCGCAAGGGGAATGGCACTGGGATCATAATCATCTAGTCTTCCTTTAAAAAGAAATTTTAAAAATAAAAAATAACTTTTAAAAATCTGTTAAGAATGATGAGTTTTTAAAAAGATATTCAAAAAATCATTTTTCTTAATAGAAGTCATTTAAAAAGTTTTAAAAAAAAAATTTCCATGACCATAGAAACAGGTACTCATGATTATGCATCCAACTAATAAATAAAAGGTAGCTGAAAGAAGAGGGGGATTACAACTTCAAATTTTTTTGGATCCCACCCATTCTCGATAACTGAAGCCACTGATTGGATGGTGATGACACTTATGATCCTGTATTTTCTATGATCATGTGGAGCATTGTGTATGCTTTCATATAAGGTGTCCAATCATTTGTGGGAGCATCCAAGGCAGCAAATTTTTTTTGGGTAATTCGGTGAGGAAGACGAGCCCTTTTGAAGGTATTAGTGGAGTAGTGTTAGAGGTGGGAATAAAAACCACTACGTGGTGACTAGTATGTGGGGTGCTACCACCACAACCCCAGCCCCTTTCCCATTCCCAAGGCTATAGTTTAAAGAGGGAGAGTACCTAACTTGATAAGAAGGTAATAATCCTATTTGTATGCACCCGGACCTGACTCAATGGGTCCAATTTTTAGATCCATACCCGAAACTAGATCAGGTCTACCCCCCGGGTTAAGGGTCGGGGTCTCGGGTCCATTGACACCCCTAGTGCTAGAGAGAAAGACACTGAGAGAGAAAGAGGTCATTTATTTTCTATGATCATATGGAGCATGGTATGTTATGTCGTCCAAGGTCTCCAAGGGTTTATGTAGACGTGGTGGGTGCCTCGTTGCTCACGCTGGAGCATATAGAAATGCAAAAGCCTCTGCCTTCTTCATCCCCTACTGCTGGTGGTTTGAAGGCAGTGGATGGTGGATGCTTCTTGAGTCTCTTCTGGCTTGCCTTAATCTTGGTGATAACTAATAATAGGTGGTCCTCAACCATTGTGTTCCAACGGTTGATCGATTCTTGGAGCAAGATGTATCCCCTACTGCATCGACGTGCTGGAAGGAAGAGCCGCTTCATTCCAAGGCCCTCGTTTGAAGCATTAGCGGTTGATCCTTTAGCCATTGTGGTCATAGAGAAGGATATCGAGAACCTTGAACTTGAGGAAGGGGAATTTGTACCGCCTGCATTGGAAGCGTTTGGGGAAGATGGTGTGGCTGCTGAGGTGGAGGTCAAGGAGCAAGGCTTAGTTCTTGTTGAATTGGAAGTCTCTCCCCCTCTTTCTATTCTCCATCATGAGGTTAGGCCTCTGATGCTCCAATTTGTTTCTGACAACCCTAGGGGATGAACAAAGGGGGGGAGGGGGGGGGGGGGGGGGAGGCCGATCTGGAAGAGCTCGGGTAGAGAATAGGATTTTTTCTGGGGATGGAGAGTTGGAGAATTAAGAAGAGCACAGGGTGGCCACTTTGGTGGCTGCTAGTGGCATGGACTTTGATGTCCCTATTGGAGTGATCTTCCAAGAGATTATTGAGAAGAATAAGGCAGAAAAGGAAAAAAAAAAAGGAGGTGTTGCTCAGGTGACCTCTAGTGATATTACGAAAACCCTTGTCAAAGATGGGGTCAAGAGTCCGGCCAAAGGAAAATCGAGGCTTGGTATGAGATCTTCTGCAAGGTTGAGGGCGAGAGGGATTGTGTCTTTTGTTGTTGCTGCTCGTGGTGTCCGCATCTCAGATGGTAAGCCTAATGAAGTCAAGGGACGGCCCAGGTTCCTCCTCCTCTAATCCTTTTTAATGATTATTATATTATGGAATGTAAAAGGTTTGAGCAACCTCAAACGTAAGAAAAACATCCATTTTTTGATGTGTAAGTTTAAACGCTCAATCATTATTTTATAGGAAACCAAACTTTCAAGTCCCAATTTGGCTAGTTTCAAGGAAGTTTGGGGCCATGGTTCAGTTGATTTTATGGCTATAGATTCAGTAGGGGCTTCTGGGGGATTGTGGATTATGTGGGACCTTACTATTTTTCTTCCTTTTTGTTCTGTGAAAAAGGAAAATTGTTTAGTTGTTGGGATTGTGGGGCCCCTGGTTTTTATTGGGGGCTGATGAATGTATATGTGCCACAATCTTTTGCTGATAAAGAAGTTTTTGTTACCCAGATGTCGGAATTTATTTCCAATTTTAACTATCTGATTTGCTTAGGGTGGACTTTAATTTTATCATATGGTCTGAGGAGTGTTTATCGGGTGGTCTTATTAATGCTACCATGTGTCTCATGCTCTGGTTGATCTGCTAATTTCTAGCGAGATCTTTACTTGGACTAGTGGGAGTACCTCGAATTTGTCAAAATCCAAAATTGACAGATTCGTGGTCTCTAGGGAATGGTTAGACTCATTTCATCTTGCCTCGGTCAAAGCTCTGTCAAGGCTTTCCTCTAGCCATACCCTGATTATTCTATGTTCTAAAGGTGGAGGGAGTTCCAAACCTTTTAAGTTTGAAATAGGTTGGCTTGAGGATAAGGATGTTAGTGTCTTAATTAAGAGCACTTGGGAGAATACCATTTCTTTTGGTTCTCTAGATTTTCGGCTCCATAAGAAGCTGCTACATGTCAAGCATACGCTCATTGCTTGGAAAAAATATACAAAATTCCATGTTTAAGGGGGAATTGATAAAGCTTTAAGGAACTTGGAAGAGGTTGACATCTTTGTTCAAAACTCTGGAGTTGTCTGAGGAAATGAAAGCAAAGCGATGCTAGATTACAAATTCATTTTAGGAGTTGCGTAGGGTAGAATAAGCGTACCGGAGGTAGAGATGACGAGTTCAATGGTCAAAGGATGGTGATCTAAATTCTTCCATGCAATTGCAAACGCTCGTAGTCGACATAATGATGTCTCGGGTTTGTCGATCAATGACGTTGATCTGGAAGACTACATTGGGATCTCTAATGCTATTATTAGTCATTTCCAAAAGGCTTTTACTACCGAAGTGAAAGCTACCCCTTGGCTTATCATGGTAGGCTTTAAAACTCTCCCTTCAAATCAATGTGCTGGTCTGGAGAAGGAAGTTACTATAGAAGAATTGCGTTTAACAGTTTTCTCTTTGTCATGTGATAAATCGCCTCGCCCTGATGGCTTCCCTTTAATTTTTTTCCATAAATTTTGGAATTTGATTAAAAAGGAATTGCTATATATGGTGAAGGGGTTCTTAAGGAGAGGTTAACTATTTAAAAGGGTTAATTTTACTTTCATAACTTTGATTCCTAAGAAGTCTGTTATTGTTACTCTTTGTGACATTAGATCGATTAGTCTTGTGACGAGCCTTTACAAAATAGTGGCAAAAGTCCTGCCCGAAAGGCTAAAGGTGGTTTAACCCACCATTATCTTTGGGCCTCAGCCGACCTTTATCAAGAATAGGCTAATCTCATATAGTGTATTGGTTGCCCAAGAGTGTATTCATTCGAGAATACTGATTGGTTCTGCTGGGGTGGTAATAAAATTGAATATCGAAAAGGCCTATGACAGGGTTGAATGGGGTATCTTGTTGGAGATTCTAAAGAATATGGATTTTGGTGAGAAGTGGCGAAGTTGGATTTATGAGTGTTTGTCTTCAGCTCATCTTACTATTATGTATACAGGAAGCGCGACTGGCTTTTTTAATGCATCTCGAGGCCTCCACCAAGGGGATCCTCTTTCCCCTCTTTTATTCATTATTTATGCATAATGCTTCAGCCTTATGGTGCGTAATGTAGAAAGCATATGATATTTTGCGGGATTCCATTTGTCAAATCAGAGTCTGTGTATCTCTCACTTACAATATGCAGATGACACTTTGTTAATTTGTGAGTTCGAGGTTGAGCATGTTACCAAATTGCTACTTTTCTTAGATGTTGTGAAATGGCCTTAGGTCTCAAGGTCAATTTTGAGAAAACTGCAGTGGAAGGTGTTAATTGTGAGGAGTCTGCTATCTTAGAGATTACGGATACCTTGGGGTGTAAAATTGGGAAACTCTCAATTACTTATTTAAGGATGCCGATCTTTGATGGTTGACTACCTCTATCGGTTTGGAATAAAGTTACTCAAAGGGTTCAATTTAAACTTGATTTGTGGAAATATAAATATCTCTTGTTAGGAGCAAGGATAACTTGGTTAAGACGTGTTTGTCAAACCTTTCGATATATCAAATGTCTAGTTTGCAGATTCCTTCTTCGGTGGCCAAGAAGATAGAAAGTTTGATGATGAATTTTTTCTGAGGTTCCTCAGCAGAAACTAAAAGTATCATCTCCTTAGATGAGATAGAGCATGTATGCCTAGAAGTGAGGGTGGGTTGGGGATAAGGAAAATTAGACTTGTAAACCAGGCCTTATTGTGTAAATGGTGGTGGAGAAGTTTGAATTTCAAAGAGAGGTTGTGGTATAAAGTACTTGTTTCGAAGTATAGAGATAATAGAT